GCTGTATTACTTAACATGGCAAGTAACAGTCTAATCAGAGTTCACAACAGCGAGTCACACAGAACACATTGTATGGGAAAGAAACATAACACTTCTGAAGCACTTCATGAGAAAAATGAAAATGCACAAAACAAATGCTTAAAAGTGTGTAACAACACCTGTTATTGTATAATGTTATTGCATTGCCTCACCCAGAAAAAGGTTCTAATTTTTGGTGGAACAGATCCAACAATGCAGTTTCAATAAATGATTCCATCAGTTGAATAAATAAAGTTCATTTCAATGCATGTACATATGAAGAGGAATAAAATGTGGTTTTGAAAAGTTACAGAGGATGTCCTCTAGCCTTTTTACTATACACTTGATAGCCTCCATATGATTTTTTGCCATCTTTTATTTTAAAATAACGTGTTGTCTTGTAGTTGGAAGGTTTACCGAAGGATCAGAATTAAATATCTTTACTTTGTACAATAATATCCCACATTACGGTCACTAATGATAACTAAAAAAACTTAAACCAATAAAGACTGTAAATAGAAATTTCTACATCTACTGTAGGTCTAGATTTTTCTTCCTTTCCCAACTTCTTAACTCCAATTTTATTAATGTCAGTGAGAGTTCAGGTGGCTCAAAAATCCAAACTTCTCATCTGATGCCTATTTTGTACGCCATCATAATCTGCTTTATTCAGCTATTTATATCATACTGTTTAAACATCCTGTAGGCTTCTGAAAAACACATAACAGCCCTTTAAGAAACCTCAGATAAAGCAGGTCGCAATACATTTTAGAGCCTTGAGGGTGTGTTAACTATTGTAAGAGTGTTTCCAGTCTGAAGTTACAAACTAGAAACTGATGTTTTGAACTTTGACCTGAATTAAAATATATATGTACCACTCACCAATTCAGATATCTCTGTGTGGACCTGTTAGCTATTTAAAAATACTGCGGGGCATGTTTGTTTGTTGTTTGACAGTTCTTATGCCTGGTATAATGCTTTTTCTTGATCTTTACCTAGAGGGATGTTGGTGCACAGATTAATAGGAGATGAAAAGATATGCAAATCAGATCTCAGCTTGGATGTCGGAGGGAGTGAGGTTGTAAAGAGGTCCAAGAATGCTTTGTGTATGTGCTTCAGTCTATGTGAGATGCTTGATAAATCAATGGGAAATCTAAAGCTCACTGGAAAGAAGTACAGTAGAGTAAGTTCAATGGAACATACTTTTCACAACCATCTGCCTGTATACACACTCTCTCAGATCACAGGTTAAGCGCAGTGGTCCAGAATGGACTAGTCTGGTCTGGACGGTGTCATTAACTGACTGTGACCAGGATTTCTCAAGTGAAGGTACAGAACTGGCCAAGAGCTGCTGGTGTTCAGTGATTTTTCTAATACAGGAGATAGGAATGACCCATGAAACACACTGTGCCAGGTGCCTGTGAATTTGCTGTGGTGTCGACGAAGGACGTGCTGCTCCTCCGATCAATGCTTGCCAGACATAACGACTTTGACTTTATTTGTGTCTCTAGGTACAAAGATGGCACAAATTAGGCACAAAGAAGCCTACTTTCCTGTAAGGTTGGGGGTCCTTGGGGGTCATGTCCAGTCATTACACACTACTGCACTACCATACCTGCAGTATGTTGCTAACCAAATATTTTATTTTGCTTGTACTGTATTCACTCATCAGCATCTTACACTAAATTAAAATGTTTGTGTGCTTGTAGGAATGTTCTCAACATTGTACTCAGATTTTTGGTTTTATGTACAGTATTCTTAAATGCTCATGTCATTAAATCCTGAGTCCATTAAATAAAATCATGAGCTTGCAATGACGAGAGCTATAACAGAACAGAAAGCAGCAAAAACAAAAAGGTATGCTAGGGCATCATCTTGACTTCCACATAAAATTCCACATGTACAGTACCACCAACATTTGCCACATTCTGGATTTCAATCAGTTTTCTTTTTTGTTATGCACTGTATCTTCAGTCCTTGTGTCTCTCAAAGTTCTAATTTCAATTTATTTTTTATTAATTAACTTGTGTAGATGCTATGGGAAAACTAAACCAAAACTATTTTATAATTGTATAAAGCTATTAAAAACATTGCAGTATTGCTTCCTTACATGAATGTCGATTATTTTACCTTTTACAGCTGTGTTCCACAGAATAGTTCATCTAATCTGATTGAAATTTCCCAAGATCTAATTTCTGCTTTGGCTTTAAAAACACCTTGTACCCTTAAATCTGATAGACACCGCTGGTGCTGGAACCTGATTAAAAATTAAAATTCCCCTCAGAGGGAGTTCTTCTGACCGGAAAGGCTAGGATTCTAACAGGTGTTACAGTGTTTGTTTTCTATTGTCAGTTACTGTTTTATTTTTATTTTCTTTATTTTGTGTTTTTCTGTGATTCAGTTTGAGTTAAAAAATTACTTTGCCTTTGGAACTTGTTTCTGGTTGCCAGCAGGGGCCAAGGAGGAATTTTCCTGGACCTCCTTATCCCTAATTATACATTAACACTTACATATGGAATTCCAGAGAGTGCTTGTTATAAAATGTTATCTTCTGGACATGCTGTTAGATGTAGTTACATTTGTACAGTACCTGAATCTAGAATTATCTTTCTTTTTCAGTCTTTTTCAATGTTCTCATCCAAGGGATATTGCCTTTTTATTAGTCATGTTTTATTACGTCTTTATCCTTTAGCTCTTGGAGTTTTTTTTTGCAGATTTATGTCTTTATAGATATATTTTTTGTCTCCAAGAAAGGAACATTTTGTTTTCACACGGCTAGAGAAAGAATAGTGTCTAGACTTATCTAACCTGAAGTAAGTTATATTTTTCTTTAAATGTTTCTGTGATACTGAATGAAATTGAAGACCTTTTTGAAGAATTGAATTGAACCTTTTGAATTAAAGAGAATAAGATGTTTTTATAAAAAGCATCCCTTTGTCCGATTACTTCAGAATAAAATACATAGTAAATTAAAGGGAATTGCAGCTTCACTTTGCTGTTCTTGTCTTGTCTGTACTTTTTTGGTGTATCTTTTTAAGACTTTACAAAATAAAGAGATAAAAAATGACATAGTGTAAGATAAAGAAGTTACAGATATCTAAATAGTTAGAGGTATTATTTCTTTCCAGTCTTTCTGTACTGTATTAGCTGTGCTCTTAAGCTCATTAGTGGAATATTTTTCTCTAAAGACTATGGAAACATGGCAAAATATTCCCACCTCATTTCCTTATTTTATCTGAGGTATTTTTTGTTTTCATATGTAGAATGGCAAGTACTGATTTTAGCAGGAGTATTTTAGGAAAGGTTAAATTAAAGGAGGGATGGGTGCTTATTGTAATTTTTTATGACATCATTATTTCTCTTGGACAAAAAATTGACTTAAAAAGTAAATAAAAAAGCAGTTTGGTTCAAAACTTTAAGCCTGTCATCTTGTGTCTAACCTGTCAATCCTAATCCAAAAAAAACTAACTACTGTAATTGTTTAAATATCACCTGAAATAACGGGGTGATAATTCTTTTTTGTTTAAAAGTTTATCCTGTACGTCTGGTACTCGTGCCCTTGAAAATATGCTCTTTCATTAGTTCAGGAATGAAAATATGAAAGTTTTAGTCAAAAGTAATGATTATCTCAAGATACATTACTGAACCGGCAGATCAGTTTGGAATGAGTCATGGGGAGGTTTGGATAGTAGCGCATATAGGAGCCCATGGTGTAGCTAATTTGAGATCAGAGTTCTGTTGGATCATACTTTTTCCCTTTAGTAGCTACTGCACACCAGCATTTTTTATTTTTATTTTAAGGAGAGCTCACAAGGTCAGCAAGGGAAGTTGAAACAGACTGATGGCAAAGTATAGCTGTGCAGAAGAGTTTTTTGTCTTCAGGAAGTTTGAGGGAGAGCTATGAAGATGATCTTGGTTTGGTTTGAAAACAGGACAGATGGCAAATCACAAACTGTTTGTGAAGGAAGCGATGGAGGCGGTACAAGTGACTGCCAGACTGCTCACTTGGAAGGTGTCGAACATCCTGCCTGTCTTGTGAATATTTTAATACTGAGGATAATGCAGGCACACAAGGAATTCCATGTCAAACAAATAGTTTTTGAAAAGGCACTTTCTCCTATTTGTTTTCTTTTAAGTTAAATACAGTATTAAAAGGATACTAAAATTGAGTCTCCAGTCTTGAAATGTGGAAGATGCAGTTTGTCTTAAGTTTAGGTGGTTGTTTGTGGAACGACTGACTTTTTTTACTGTAGTGCCTCATGATTACACTGCATTATGACAATGTGTGATTTCAGAAACAAACATGATCCAACGCTCATTTTTTTAAATCAAGCTTTGTTTCCTGAAGCTTATGAAACTCTTAAACTTCTTTTTAAGTGCCGCCAATTCAGGAAAATATTAAATGCCATATGGAAGTAGACTAAATATCCTCTGTACTACATATGGTAATACATATGGTAATCTAATGTAAATGTGTAAGTATATTGTGCTACTTAAACCACTTTTAAAAACTATTCAATTTAACTGACGAGCTACTATGAAAGAACTTGATATTCAAAACTTTTTCTATCCCTGAACAGAAGATTAGCACTTCATAATGATTATTTGAAGCCTATTAAAGATTACTTTAAAGCTTTTCTTCATTATCTATATTCCTCTTATGCAGTATTTTAACTCTACCCAGATGCTAGACACCCACTCTTAATATGACATTATATTTCCATTGTTTTATCAACCGTATATTTCAGCTCTATCTTTAAGAAAAGTGAAGCACTGAACATCTGGATTGTGCGTGCCATCTGTGAAAGGTGTTTTTAATAAACTTTTTTACTATTTGTCAAACTTTGTCTTTGACAAAAGAGAATTTCAGGCCAGTATTTAAAACTTCAAGTAAAATTTAACTGCAGTGGATTGCTCACCAGTACAATTAATTTAATGGGTCATTTTGATAGTTCTTCCTAACACCTCTGTCTATTTTACAGAGCTGATGTCTGGCCGTCAGACTGAAAACTTTTCAACTACAGACAACAAGATTGCCCTCAGCTATGCAAGTCGGTTAAAGCTTGAGAAGTTGGAACAGGTCAGTTTTTTTCTGACTTGTAAAAATAACAAGTTGTATGCACTGTGGACTGAGTAGAGAGAAAAGCAAAGTTAAATTAAAGTATGGAAATAGTAGTATTATATGAAGTATACTACATGCAAATTTGTAAGGAATGAAATATCCCTTTATCCCATAATATAAGTTTACCATTCTCCTGTCATGTAATTTTACAATACAGTAGTTTCACATGTATGCTATATTTACATTCTCAAAAATCAATTTTTTGAAATGTAGAGTCAGTCCCAAGTGCAAAGTCCTGATATGCCACCTGAAATCTCAAGAGTGAATGAGAAGTAGCCAGTCCTGGCCAGCCTCATAAAATGAGAAAGGGATTTAGAGTGAAAACTGGAAAAGGGAACATTAATATGAAACTACTTGATACATTACATTCAGTTATAAACTAAACAAGTTAGTGACTAGGTATCATTTACTAGACTACAGTACATGACTTCTCTGGGTTTTGCATCACATACTGTATATCCTATAGATGCGGAGGTTTCTTCATGAAGCTAAAAGCTGTATGGCTGCCATGTAAACCCACAGCAGCCCTTCCATTTGGAACTTACTGACACACCCTCAATCTCACAGACTATTTTAAAGAGGTGAAAAGTCAGTGAAACTAGTTCTAGACTGTTTGAGTTCAACATGATCATATTTAGTGAAGAAGAAAAATCGTTACTGAAACTTTGTTCAGGCAGCATTTGTCTGATTATTTTGTACTTGTCCTTTGCTTAGATAGTTTAACTCAGTTTGCCCAGATGGATCTGAATTTCATCATGAAACATATTTTCAGCTAACACACTCCCTTATCTGACAAGGAGATTTCGAAGCGTTACAATCAATGAGGCATGCTATATTACTCTATATTACCCTTGCACTTTAGTTTTTGCTTGATTTTCTGTGAAGAAATGGCTTTGTCGTGATCAGCTTAAAAATTTTTAACTGATTGGATTGTGAGAAAATATTTTTAAAATGCTTCCTAAAAATCTCTTTTTATGTGACTTAAGAAGTAATATAGAAATTTTAAACATAATTAGTAAAATAAAGCAAAGTCTGATATATACAGTAGTTGAATCGTAGCTGTGAAGTATAATGTACTGTAATTGAGAAACAAAGAGTGAAAGGATTGGGGTCACCCTATGACTGTTGCAAAATTGCCTTTTGTTATTGCAAATATATTACATAACATACAGTAGCAAGCAATAACAATCCAATCTGATCTTGATCAGGGATGGGCAAAAATAAGGTTGTTCACCCAGCTGTGCATAATTATATGTGACTTTGCAACCTTTTCACAGACTTGTCGCTCAATAAACTATTATTATATGGTGATCATGTGGTAGAACTTGAATCGAGCACTTGTCTATGGTTTGCAGAGTATGCTCTGTTACAGCATCAGTCTGTACTGAAACTCTTGGGTGCACTGCAGAAAATCGATACTGAGAAACAACATTAACAGTCTTTGCGTGACAGTTTTGCTCTGAATTTTTACAGTTTAGGCCATTTAATTTACCTGAAACAATCATTTAAGGTAGGATTTTTATACAGAGATTAGTATGGCTATATGATGGTGTTTATTAAATGTTAAAATCAAGACCAAAAAAGGTCAAATATAATTCCTCCAAACTTTAGATGCCGGAGGTGTGTGTTCCCTTCATATTCATTCATATGTACATCTGTGCTTTTTTCAAGGCTTTTTAACACTCCTTGTAAATCACCGCTTAAAAAGACTTTTGTTTCTTTAATGCAGTGACCTGCTAATTAACAAATGTTTGTGTCTTCCGTTAAGGCACTGGGATATCTTGGGATAACGCCTACAGATGCCCAGCAGCAGGCTGTGAGGGACCGTTTACAAATTGACTCTGAAGGAACAGTGGCCTACGGAGGTGAGCAAGGAGCTTGACTGTTATACTTGATGTCTTGTGGTTTTGCAAAGATTCTCTGACTGCTCTGAACTCTTTTATTGTAGTACCAAAAATTCATGATTTGCAGATATAGTACATTGGTTGTCTTCCTGTCTGAGTATTTTATTTTTAAATATTTAACCTATTCTCAATGAAAATGATTTCCATTGTACCCTCCACCCCACCCCTCTTACACTAATTATAACCCACCATAAAATTTGGGGTGTTAACATTTATAGTTTAAAAACAATTTGTGCTCACACAGTAGAATGGAAGAGAATGTGTTTCTGAAAGGAGAAAAGACATGCAAATACAAATTGTAGAGTGATTAAACGCTCTACAGAAAATGAGAAAAATAGCGAAAAGTAGTCAACTTAGATATTATTTTTAGATGAATTCCACTCATCAGAAAAAAAGGTCCATTAATATACCATTGGTCTCTTTCTTAAAGGAATCATATGCATGTAAAAATGAGTAAATAGGTTAACCAATTATGCCTGTACTTAAACCTACAGTATTTTAACTATGACTGTGCATGCCAGATGAAAGGTGGTCTTAATTACACCTATACTACTTATGATTTTATTATTTACATTCATCAGTGTTACAGGTCTCATACTGACAGAGACTGATTCTTTGGCATTCCTTTAATCCTATTAGTAGCTTTCAATATTTTAAAATAGATACTTTTAAATGTTATGGCCTTGCAAAAGGAGGTACTAGTGTATTAATTCTCAGATGTCTTGATTTCTGCATAGATTTTGTGCAAGTTACCAGAGAGCTCTTCAAGTTACAGCTTGACGATTCTGGGTTAAGTCATGGCATAACAAGATTTGCATCAAGTAATCTTACAAACCTTCTAGAACCCGCAGCCCATCGACAGGTATGTATAGCAATTGCCTGTGTAAACGGAGTCTTTTGTTTGTAGCCAAATGTACATTTTTCTCCATGGAAACAGGCAGAGATTCTTAAGAGTAGTGTTGTTCAAATCCAATTAGCTAATGCAGTGCTTTCACATGTTTCGGAAATAGCCACTGAAGATAAAGAAATAGATGTACGTATATATTATTTCAATTTGAATGTTTTGATAGATTATTTTAAATATTTTCTGCATAGAAATGAAATCACAGAGCAAACCTACGCAAAGACTGTTACATAGTAGTTCAGAGTCAAGTCGGTTAAAGGTAAATGAAGTGCTGTATGCATACATTTAAAAAACAGAGTATAAATACAGTAAATGCCTTCATTAACCCACATGCTCCAGAGACGTTAGTAAAAAAGTTTTTAGCATGTAGTGTTTGCCTGAATCAGTGGTGTTTTGTAACAGGTTACAACATCAGACTCCGAAGAGCTGGATGAAATGGAGTCACTGAGAAAGGATCACATTGAGGCTCTCAGACAGGTGAAGAAACTGCAGGTAAATGCACTCTTGAAAATTGTTTAATTCTTGTAATGGTATCCTTTTATTCATTACACACACAGTAGTATACTTAGTAGTGTTTATTACCTGTAGGTGAGGTTTTGTGTTTTGTTTCTGTTCCTGTTGTTTTTGATGTTTTCAACACCACCGTCCAAAAGCTTCAGACACCAGCTGCTGTGGTTTTGTAACATTGTTGAGTTGATGTTGAGCCAAAATTATTCATCAAGAAGTTGTTACTTTATTGAAAAGTGAAGCATATATCGTTCAAAACTCAATCAACCAGTTCAGTCGATTTTTATGTGGTGTAGTGCTCTTTGCAACGTGTTGCCACAGAGCACTTTACAAGTGATAACAAGCACACAATAAATGAATACATGTATAATTTTTTCATGATTTAAAAGTGGAGACATATCCACAGTACTGTTATTTGTTCTCTGCGTTTCGTCATGCAGACAATTGCTGCCAAATGGTTCATGTTTTACTGCCTCAAGACATGCTGTCATTTGACTTGCAAAGTATCTAGTAACGGCCATTGTATATTTTTGAATGAATTTTTTTTGCAAACTTCTTATTAGAACTAAAGCCAATTTGAAATTTTATACATTGCACTAGTATTCACTTCAGTCACCTAATACAAACTGCATTTGTATCACACATTCAAAGTGTGATATGGATCCTAAAGTGGTTTTCATCCACCAGTGAAGTGCAGCATAAACCTAGGTGATATGTGGCAGCAATTCTGAGCCAACAGCCCCAGTGCACATCAGATTGAGTGGAGAATTTAGAGAAATTACTCCACCAATTGAATTAAGGGATAAACATAGGTAGGAAAACTTGTGCAAGCCCAAAGTGGAATTTAACAAGTTCACATTGTTCTAAGGCATCTACAATGACCATGTAGTCAGGTCTCATCCAAAAGACTGCACTTCCTACAGTACAATGTACCTTTTCCCCATACTGAAGAAATAGGTTTGGAGATTCTAGTCCAAAGAAAAGGGTGTCACCTACTTTTCCATCGACACGGGCCCAGCCTTGCTTAACTTTTAAGATCTACAACGATCAGAAAACAATATGGTGAAGCTGCTGTCTAAAAGATATTTTCTTAAATTAAAAGCTTTGAAATCTTCTTAGATTAGAACAGTTTTAATTTTATAGACACTCCTATTCCAATCACATTACCCAGCACATATTTCAGAACTATTTTGGCTGATTTAGACTCATTTTAAAAATAATAATAAATGAGTACTGATGAAGAGCCACTGTAGAGAATTTATTAGAGGTCTTGTTTCTTTTATTCCTATAGGATCAACTAAATGAATCGGAAAATCTGCGCCTTCAGATGCAGGAGGAATTGAAAAAGATTAAACAGGTAAAATTAGTGTTTATGGACTGAGAAAAATTCCTCTCTGACATTCTTCAGTGCTAGTAGCAGTGAAACCACTAGGGGGAGCTCCCATCGCACAAGCTTATGGTAGTGAGTGTCTTCAGTGTGGCAGGGGCAACACAACAGTGTGAGCCTCTCAAGTTTAAAGGGGCTCATTAAATGCTAAAGCAGAAAAACAGATTGTGCCCATCTGCAAAATACTGAACCCAAATATCGGAACAATAGTAAACCAGTACTTTTTACAACCTATTGTGGTTGTGATGTTAGAAGTAAACAAATGATGAATTGAGATAATAAAGCAATAAATCCCTTGGGTTCTACAAAAAAGAAAATTGGTTTAAAGAGAAATATGAAGCTCATGGTGCTGGATAAGAACCACGGTTTGGAGTTGTTTATTGTTTTTCATAGACAATAACTTTTTTCCCTGAGGGCAAATATTTCCTTTAAGCAAGTATTTCCTTTAAGAATTCCAGTTAAAGGAAATTAAAGCTAAAATGTACTCTAGATCATTTGTGCCCAGATTGCTTGCATTACTCTTCCCTAGGTTTTATGATCCAGTAGTCCACATTTCATTTAGATTTCTGAAGATAGTGAACACAAAAGATGATTGTCTTTGCAAATTACATAAAAATGCATCTCGTGGTCCTCCTCATAGAAATCTATATTTACTGCAGGGGAAAGGAGTGCATAAGAATCCAGTCTAGAATTCGTTTATAATTAGTTAGAATTTTGTCACAGTTAATAACAACCTTATTCTGGAGGCAAAGAAAGCCCAGACTTTATTAATTGTTAGAAGTAAAAACAAGTTTTATTTTATCATTTGGTTTTGCCTGATTACTTTGCACACACTATTATCATATGTAAAAGCATTGATTCTCCCTACGATTTTATATTAATATTAAACATGTTTAATTTTGTATCTGAATTACCTTGCCGATATGCTGACTCTTAGAAAAGGCACAGGAACGATTTATTTTCCAGGGACTGCAATAAAAATGCAGTTGAAAAAAGATTGCCTTTTTTCAATTAACAGCGCTGTTCCTATAGTAACTGCATTGTTAGTTTGACTACTGTTTGTGTGTCCTGAAGTAGTAGTTCAAATGCATAATCGATTTTATGTAAATAATCCAGATCACACAGTCATGGTTTCATCTTTATACCTTATATACAGTATTAACACTCTGAAATGTGACACATTGTTTGGAAGATAATGCTTTTGCCTTCCCAGAATTCAGCATACACACACACATACATACAGTGAGAGCCTGTATCATTTTACAATTTTCACACAAAAATGCTTTTATGAGTGTCATTAAAGCAGTTTTTGCTTTTGAGAGTGAACACAAATATCCTCACAAGCCTTTCTATTTAATACAAGCCAGCCCTTCACATGTTTGGACATTTATAGTAAAATAACACATGGAAATGAATGAGATTTAAGTAGACTTTGGCAATGAAGTATCTCTGGAAAAGCACCGATTTAAATATGGCACATCATTGTCTATTTTCTTGTGAAAAATATCTTGCTCTCTTCAGTACTGTTACCTTAAATCAAGTGTTGTATGAAAAGTAAGAATTGGAAATGTGTTAAAAATATTGAAGTATTATGAAAGTTATGCAAACCTGTGCATGCAGTTTCTTAAGTTTAAATATTGTACCTCATTTTAATTAATGTATTATTGATACAGCATTAAACACTTGATATATTCTTACCTCTCTTGCTTGATTTCCCATAGATTTTAATAGAAAGCAAAAGTTTCAAAATTAAAAATATTAACCTTTGCTAAAGGGAATTAAAACACAAGGTCTTGGTCCAATATACAGTATTTAATGTTTTCCTTTTTTACCAGTCATGAGGAAGAATCTGTGAGCCATTCTTCAGATTCGATATTTCATATTTTTTTCAGATGTTTTGCATTATACATTATCCTCTCCTCAGACTGCAATTGAGCGTAATTCTCTCAGTTATTCACACAGGGAGATGAGGAACTCTATTAGTTGGTATTACGAACCTTGGTCCCAGGCACTGACTTTTACATGAACATTTTTGGTGCGCAGTTCTGAATTTGACCATTTGAGGTCCCTGCATTCTGTAGATATAATGAAGTCAGCTGGTTACAAAGTAGCAGGCTTTTAATCAAGCTCGCTGGTCAGCACTGCATCAAAGGTTTTCTGCTGCGGTGCCCAGAGGGCTAAAGATTAGTCGTTCTCAGAAGAGAATTAAAAGCTCTGAGTGCTGTGGGAAACTAGCACAGAGGGCTTTGGAGTAGAGTGGTTAGAGATAAGCTGGACAGAAATGATACTGTCCAATAGTTTAAAAAAAGACTAAACAATCCCTACTTCTGTGCAAGAAAATTCTATGTTACAGAAAGCTGGACTTTTGCACACTATTGTGCTTTTAAAGAACCTGGTTGTCATGTGCTATTTCTTGCTGAATGCATGGCAAGTGATATGAAGTTCGGAAGTGTGGGTGTTTTTGCTGTAAAGTGATCCACTTCCCAGGCCTGAAGGTCTCTTCAGATGGATTTGCATTATCATGTCATTTAAATGATGAGTGAAGGGCTTGGTTCTTGGTTTGCTTCTGTGATTTACTGTACTTATTGGGCATAAAAATGGGTTTGTATGAAATCTGCTTTACACAGGAGTAGGAGCTGGAGGTCTAAAACCAAAGAGAAAAATTCAAGATTTTATTCCAAAAAAATGATTAATGAAGCCAAAGAGGAATTTAAAATGTCAGTCTAAAGCTTTTGTGTATTTTTCAAAATTATTTTGTTTTCAACTTAATTTTTCAAGTGCTTATGGATTTTTCGTGAGGTAGCTGCTTTGTACAGCCTGTCACAAACTACATGGCTTAGTATTCTTCAGAAAAATACGAATGTTATAAATTACTTTACTTTCTTACATTTGCTTATCTTTCTTATTATTTTTATTTAGATAATAAAGTAAACTTCCTAATTTCTTTCCTGTCATCTTTATAATGTTGTGCTTTGTAAATTTAATTTTTTTTATTCATTTACATTAGTGTTTAGTTTTTTTTTGGTCTGTGAAAAGTAATGTTTTTCATCGCGTTGGGGCTGCTCAGATTTTTAAATACAAACTTATAGCTCCGGAGATGACAACTTAGGAATCAAGTTAATAGGGTTAGGGTTAATAAACCCTTAATTTATTAAGGGTAATAAATATTGTTACCCTATGTTAACCTTTATTATTAAGTCAAAGTTATAATTGCAATTTGCCCAAAGAATAACATTACTTTCCAGTGAAATTTAAGATTTGAATTCCTGAATTCTGAAAAGGTGTACTAGGTGTACTATCTGTCAGGTCTTGAATTGTCACTTTTCACAATCTGAAATGTAGTTCAGTTTAGTTATAACATAATAATATTAATATTCATAATTATTTACAATGATGTCTTTGTGACTAAGCAAGGCATAATGTGGCAATTATTAAATGCAAAGTTAAAAGAGTATTTTATCATTTTCCTTTTTCACTATAATCTTGCAAAATTCCCTAAATGTGTTCTTTATCCTTGAGTTATTAACAAAACTGGAAGTGCAGCACAAGTGTGGCTCCTAACAAGGTGAAGCTGTAAGAACTGAAACATTCTATTAATATCACGGATACAAAGCAGTAATGCGAACACCCGGTAAGTACAGTATCAGTATATACTCCTTGTTTACAGTGAAGAGCTATTAGCAAATTACTTTACCAGTCTGAGAACTAAGAACAAACACAAGAGCTCATAGGTGCCGTCTAAACAGATGCCTGGCATCTGAGGCATGGCAAGGTGGTCAGGAACTGAGTGGTTCTGTTTTCTGGGCTTCCTTAATCAGAGAGAGCAAGGTGTTGTGTAGGGAGATGTAAGAGACTAAAGACAGGCAGGAGAGCAATGGCTGAGGCGATGGCACTAGAGAACCAGAGGAGGGATTGGAGTAATGGAGTAGCGTGACAAAAGCCAAGGCAAGACACAGAATTCTGGATTGGCAGTGGGCAGATGGAATTGGCAGGGAATCTGGCCAACAGGGAGTTAAAGTAGTCTAGGCAGGAACGTACCAGGGACTAGTCTAGAAGTTGTAGAAAACAGTTGATAAGGAAGGGGCGGATTCTGCAAATGTTGCTGAAGACGAAGCAGCGGGAGCATGCCAGAGAAGCAATGTTCTTGGCACAGGAGGGGGGGGAAGGGTGGTAGTGGAGTCAAAAGGTGAAGAGATGGAGAGGTCTGCACAGGGGCAAGGGGAGGAAGGGAGGAAAAGGAGGTCAGAGTTCGACAGATTGAGTCTAAGATGATGGCGTGCATCCAGGATAAAAATGGCTGTGAGACGGGCAGAAATACAGTAGGAGACCTCAGAGTATCAGAGGGAGGAAAACAGAAGAAGATCTGAGCCTCATCAGCATAAAAATGATACGAAAAACCATTAGAAGAGTTAAGGGGACACGGGGACCTTATCAACACAATGCAGTCAAAACATTCAGGAAATATAGGCCTGGTTTGCCCTAATAGGGACCTATCAGTGCAGTGTATCCATATCTTGACTATGCTCATGTTCCTGTGTTTTTTTTGGTTCAACTGCTAGCTCCAGTCATTGCTAAGAAGGAAGTTAACTAAAAGATGGTACTGTAGCTGGGCATCAAGTAAAACTACTAAACTAAACACTTTGCCTCATTTAAGATTTAAAACACACTCTTCAATAGCCCCAGGTTTGAATTATGATCAATTATATGTCAAGCAAACCCATAGGGAAACACTTGTTGAGGTACCAAATTAAAAGAAAGTCAGAAACAAAGAGGTCACTTTTATTCTTTTCTTTTTATGTGTTGTTTCAAAATTGTTTTTTACAACTGTTTTATTTCTCCACTTTTTGGAGATTTGTTTAATGCTTCAAAATGTTAAAAAAATTATTACATGAATATAATATTACAGTCAAGGTAGTGTTACAGTATATTAAAGTGTCTAAAGGATGTGCTTCGGTCCAGCAGAGAAGATC